AAATCCCTCTACATCCAATTCCATTTCTGCCAAAACAACCTGTGAAAGCACCAAGAAGCTCACTAATACTTGGATTCTCTGTGCCTTTGGGCCAATACAGAGATGTTTCAATAAAATTTTTACAGACGATCCAATTGTCTTCTTGTGAAAAGCTAAACTTACTGTCCTGTAGGAACAGGGATGTAGTGATGCCAGCAGCGAGCAGGACTAAATCAGTGACGACACAGTGATGGGGAAGAGGCAGACAACAGCATAGGAAGGGTGATGGGGTGCTGTCTAAGTACAGCACTTCCACCTTTCAGATGGGCAGCCTACGTTCGTTGCCCTAGACCTTGAGTGTGATGATCCTTCCTCCTGGAATGCACCTCCTCTGTCCTTGCCCTAGGCCACCTGCAGCTTGCCCACTCTGCAGTGGATCTCTCTGTCCCGAGGTCCCATCATCAGAACCAGCTATCAGATGGTGGCAGCAAAGGGAGCAGCTGTAGTATCAGGATCATGGGCGCCTGTACTAATACCACAGAAAGTCCTAGGTGCAGGACCCGCACCAAGGGTCGAGAGCTCGCCCCTGCCTGCTCTCCCCCTGTCTGCTCTGAAGTCCATCTGCACGCTCCCAGCGTTGCTCCACCTGTGTAATGATGGCTTTGGGTTGGGGGAGAGGGAGCCAGTCGCTACAAGAAGTGAGGTGGGATTGGACACAGATCCCCGGGAAGGAGGTTGGGGAGGGCGTCCAGTTGGTGCGGTCAGGAAGTCCCGGGCGAATGGGCGGGGTCGCGAGGTGACGTCAGGAGGAGGCATGGTGACGCCCAGCGTGGCTGTAGAAGCCAGGCGCAGGCCCGAAGCCGTATTGAACAGAGAAGTGGCGCTCCCGCCGTAGGTATTACTGCTCTTCGCCTCATCCTGCGCCTCGGGCGATGGTGTGCCGCTCGCCCATTCGCCGGGTTCTGGGCCTGTTGCTCGCATCTTGAACTACACCTTCGTGTTGGCGCCCACCTTCACGTCCTTCTGCAGTGCCTTGGGTCCGCGTACTCGCTCCCAACGCCTCTTGGAACTGCGCCAGACGGTCTGGCTGGCCAGGGTGGCCGGGCTTCTCTCCCGGGCAACCCCGTTAGGCCGGAGTCACTGAGGTGCCAGCAACCAGAACGCACCGGATCCTCACTAGCAGGGGAGGGCACGGCTCAAGCCTCTGGCTCCGCAACCCTGCTCCGCCATGTGGACAGGATCCCCCTGACATCCGCCGGACCATGAGACCTCCAACTCAGTGCCCTATCTCTAACGCCACACTCAGCAGAGGGTAGCCGCGGCCGCCGCTCAGGACTGTCCTTAAACTTGGAGCGCTGCCAGGCCCCTAATCCGAGTTCTTCACCTTGGATTTAACTGTTCCACAGAGGACAGCTGCTTACTAAGAACGAGAGTGCCCTGGACACCTGCCGCCCACCATACAAGCGCTCAATGGACTCCCTCCCGTCTAGGGCAACCACAGAACAGGCACTGCATCAGGTGGCCTGGTTTACCTAGGAACCTTAAAACCTAAATCTGCCCTTTGACTCCACCTAGGATTTCCTGCTCTATAGAGGGCAGTGGATGACTCCTGCTCCCCGACCTCCAGGACCCCACTCACATGCACACCTGGAACCCAGCCCCAAGTGGTCCCACAACATTCCTTAAGTCATCATCTGCCTGTAGCTGGCATGTGAAGTGAGTGGAAGAGGCTGCTACTTGGTCCAGGAAAAGTACCTAATACCAATCCTTATTTGCCCCATCACCAAAGTGTCCACCAAAAATATGAGCTCAGAAGGTGCAGGGAATTAGAAGAAGGGCCTCAAAATACCCCATCACCTCCTAACAGTCTTGGTCCTAGCCATGTTCCTGACTCCAAGGTGGTGCCCAAGCCTGAAGACCTTTGGCCCGGGACCAACTTCAGCACCCAATGTCCTGGTGGCATGTCACTTGGGGAGCCTTTTTCTTCTAGTCAGCAACTTCCGATACTCAAGGTACCCAGACAAAAATTCCAAAATGAATTTTTTGGGGCTCAAAGCCTGGAAGAGAAACAACAGGAGGGGGACACTGGCCAGGGTCAGGGAGAGAGAGCAACACTCTCCATATGTGGGTGCTTGAGGCCCCTGGAAGGCTGAAAACACAGTACAAGGACAAGATGGGGGGACAGGTGACCCCAACATGTGGAGAAGAGCTCAGTTAGCGCATTCTCCCAGAGCAGTCAGCAGGGCCCACAGTGGTCAGCACTGAGGACCTGCTTGTCAGAGGGTCAACCTCCAGGAATAGGTCCTGCAGGTTCTCCTGGATAGTGACAGCGAAAGCAAAGACAAAAATGAACTCGGAAGATGAGGCGTTATAAAGAACAAAACAGCAGGACCAACACTGTGTGATTCCACATGTGAGATCTCCAGAGGAGTCAAATTCCCAGGACAAAAAGCAGATGGTGGGTGCTGGGGTGGGGTGGGGTGGCTGGAGTTGCTGTTTAATGGGGACAGAGTTGCAGTTTGGGAAGATGAAAATCCTGGAGATGGATGTTAGGGATGGTTACACAACAATGTGAATGCACTTAAAGCCACTGAACTGTGCACTTAATAATGGTTAAGATGGCATCTTTTATGTCATGTATTTTATGACAGTAAAAGAGCAAGCTCCTATAAATCTTGTCAAATGATTACAAAAATGCCCCTCTCCCTGACAAAAAAGAACAAGCAAGGAAAGTCCCTGCAAGGGCTGGTCAAGGTAGATGGAGGTGGCCAGGTCACAGGGAGTTAATACTCTCTGGGAAATGAACTGGTGTGAGATTGACTTCCCCACTCACCCTTTGGAATAGTTTGGGGTTTGTAACCTGTGTGTCAGGCATCACCTATTCAAAAAAGTAAATTTTTGAAAATAAGAATAAAAAACATCAAATGTTGCCAGCATAGCAATAAGAAAGGCCTGTGGAGATGGATGCTATTGAGTCTTTCCTAAAAGTAATTTGAATGTTTCGAAAACCTATTTTCCATGCCCTTTAATCCAGTCATTACACTTTTGGAATCTAAGAAAACTATCCAAAATGCAGAAAATATCCACATACAAGATGTTCAGGGCAATGGTATGTGCAGTGATGGAAATGGAAACAAAAAGTCAACAATGGTGAATCGCTGGGTCAATACCTCCCCACGTCTTGGGTGAGTATGACAATTAAAATATTCCTGGAAAACTTACGAGGACAAAACAGTTAATATAGTACAAAGCAGAAATGTAGACCAGGATCCCAACAGATATAAAACACATCAAAATAAACTTTCATCAGCAGTAACATTAAAAAAATTTCCTGATTAATTTTGGTATCCCATTGTTTTATTTAGAATTGTGAAATTTTTACATTTACTTCTACTTCTCTTCTGTGAATGATCAATTTATATACTTGGCTATTATTGGGGCAACCTTTTTAATAATTTTGAGTTATATAGAAGGAAATTAACAGGGTCATTAATATGTTTTTTTGTCCCGAGTTTGTAATATGCATCTTAACCGTGCAAATTTTTTTTGTATATAGCTTTACTGTTTTTTGAGGTCAACCCTATTTTTTGTGATTTCTCATTTTTATGCCAAAACAGTAATGAGATCACCTGAGGGATCTCAAGCCACAGGACCCAGAGGTGCCTGTTTTCACATGTGAGTGGGACTATCTATAGTTTTTTTGTAGGTCCCTCAGGGATGCAGGCTACCCAGAATTTAAGGGTAATCAGAACTGGCAGTTCCACTTTGAGACATTCAGACCAGAATAGTGGTTTAAGGGGACATTTTATTGTGTCCAAAAAAGTAGAATCCATATCTCTATTCAGGTTGGGTTTTTTTTTCCTTGTTCACAGCC